TTTATAGTGTAAAGATTGTGTTCCGTTTCGGTTAACCCATCAGGCATCCACCGCGTGCTCTATTCTATTCGGAGATTGAAGAAAAATTGAAAGACTTAGAGATAATTGAGGACATATTTAATCTATATGGCGGCTTACGGCAGCCTTCCGATGTATAACTTCGGCGTTCTTGATCTTTCCAGACAGGTCTGCGACATTTTGTCAACTTAGGAGAGATGATTTTGGAGGCATGGCTAGCTCAAAACAGAAGACCAAAGTTAATAACCACGTCTGTGTTCCTCAAGGTACCTGTTGAATTGAACTAAAAGCCTCCATATTTTAAATGTTTTGAAGGCACTATTAGTAAAAAACCAACCATTATATTTCATATTTTAAACCATTATATTTCATTATATTTCTATTATCAGAATAATAGCAGAATTTTATATGAAATTGTAAACGCAACCTAATATTTGTACGGATTACCTTGTCTCATTGATACCTTTACCAGCAAAATAACTTCGGGCGAAGCTGATCGGATCGATGAATTTTTACATTAACTTTAATGTTCAGTGTATTAATACATTAACGACTGGTTGCAAGAGCTCGGCCGACAACGAAATTCATTCTGTCTGCACACAGCTGGCGATAATTCCTGTTAAGACAGTCACATGCTTCTGGCCACTTTAAAGGAGAGTAATAGCGGTTTTTATGGGTTTATGCTCAATTGGTTCGACACAAATCTGACATTTATTGGTTCTTATCAGTTGATAACCGGAACTTGTCGTGTTATTGTTAATGTCAGGTACCATTTAGTTATTTGCTTGAGCGATGAGAAGATCAACTTTTCATAGATCACATAGGACAAAAACAATACGGTACAGTTAACAGCTGTTTTATCCTTTGACAGTAGGCAGCTCCAAACAAAGGCAAAACACAAAAGAAGGAGGCAGAAACACAGTGACAAAGTAATTCATCTAGGCCTTTAAGTGAAAGAAGTAGGAATTCCGTAGTAATTTAAAACAATCTCGAAAACATAGATCGTAAAAAGATAAAACGTCCGGAATTGATCATTTGCTAACGATTTCACCATTGATTCGACAGCCGCCCGTTGGTGGAATTCAGAGCGGTCAATGAGTGCACGTTATTCGTGCCTTAGCAAGTTCAGCAAAGCACACCATTAGTGGTATCGAACACGATAAAATACTACAAATTACACTGTATCCTTTATGATTGTTAAAGTATGAGTGACGTAGGTAAGGCAGCGGCAGAGTTGCCTCCGAATTGGCTGAAGACCCTGCTTCGCCCATCGCTGGGTATGCAAACCTTCTCCTAACCCAACGGCTTCAAGAAATTGATGTCAGATATCTGTGGGATCATGTTGCCTTTTTAAATTTACAAAAGCTGGTCACACCATCTGATAATGATCCGCAGACTATCCAGGAAGGTAATTCTGGAACTAAGGAGAGAATGTAAAGAATAGAACAATCAGTGCTGATCAATTCCTAAGAAATATGCCATGCATTCCACACCATTAGGCAGCGCAAAGATAAACTATACGTATTTCTTTCCTAAAGTGACTTATTGACGTATTAATTCAGTATTCTTGACCTCTCAGAGAACATTGTGTTAATGTGCCAACGCCGGAAGGAAAACGAGCGTGATTGAACCAGGACACGGAATCAAACTAAAGGCCAGTGTATTTGTCAAGGCAGCTCTGAGTATTGTGCTACCTGTTCCTAGTTTAATGACTAGATGTATTTGTTATTTTAAGCTGTTATCACCGGGCAATAACTACTATCGACAACTGCATCCTATATAAATGAGCATCGTCGGGTGAGCATGCCGCATTCGAGAGATGCTCCACTGAGGAAGATCCGACTCGATACGAAAGTCGGAAAACGAAGACGCCACATCGAGAAGGACAAGCGTGGCGACTCGGATCATGGGCTCTGATAAAGATGAATACGTCGACACGTCAACGCAAGATAAAGATTGTTTATCAACCTCGTCTAAGCTTATCAGAGAAAGAATATATTTTGAATTTTTGTGTTACAGTGGATAAATTTTGTTTTCTGTGAGAATAAAAATGGTAAAAGGACAAAGCTCTCGGCGTTGATCAATACCTGAGGGATGCACCAGGCATTCGACTTCACTAAGTATCGCTTGGGGATGATTGAGTGCATATCTGGAATTTACAATAACTCGCGGTGACTTACCGATGTATCGAGCCAATGCTGCTATCCTTCCAGACACGTTTGGTATCAGTTTAACGGGAGGGTAGAAGGCTTGGTGGGCCAGAGGCCCAATGATCGATCATCCCATGTGTGTGTGTCGCAGGACGCCTCCGACCACTGTGCTACACGCGCCCTTGCTCTGAGGATAGTTCTTATTATTGCTGTAAATTTATTTGTAGCCTAACAGATCAAAATATGGAATAAGCAGCTACATGCTCGTTTGAGTGAAGCTGCTGAACTCGGATAGCACTGTAATCAGATGTTTTTGAACATCCGCTCTGAGAGCAACTTACGCTACATAGCCTTCACTGTGGTTCTTATGACCAATATCTCACCTGCTGGCTAACCGAATTACCTCTATTAAGCTTTAGTGATAGTCTACATAATATTAAGCTTTCGCTTTGTGGCAACGAACATCGCCTATAAACACTACTGATTCCTAGGCGTTGAAAATTTATATTTGTGACACAAAAAAGTTACACTGCTTCTTCCACTCTCAATATTCACGAAAAAACTCTGGCCGACATTAAAATAGTTCTCAGACGTTTTTTGACACATGTCATATCAAAACTGAGCCTATCACATGATTTATTATTGGCCTCTGGGTTTCAGTGAACTTTCCAGTTAGTGTCTTGTGCCTCTCACTGTTCATGAACATTCTATCAGTGTTTCTCGTTTGTGCTTTGAATGAAATCAACAGGACAAGCAAAACATTGATTGGCATACTCGAATCAGTGATGGTCAGTCAGTTACTAAAGAATTGACTGTTGTTTTCAACAGTGAGATAGTGAGGATCGCAAAGAATTGATGGCGTGCACCACCTCTGTCGTGCCACAACGTGCCACCCTCTCCCGTCTTGAAACAAAATGTCTCCTTCGGAGATCTGGACCAAAAAAAAGCAAAAAAAACAAGATTACGTAAAGGTTCCTTATTAGCACTAGCAAATCAGTTTATGTAAAAGCCTGAAATGAATACGTTTTTCTTGTGTGGAGCATGTATTTCATTATCCCAAATTGTATTGGTCCTAAAAGATTCCTAAATTTCCCACATGTAGTCACTGTGAAGCAAGCGAATAAAATAAAAAGCAACAAAAAGTTCAAGCTTAGACGGAAATGAAATAAAACGGAAAAGTTGAAATACGTGACTCTCGATAAGACTGAGTGACCACCAATACCGTAATAACCCTTTATAATATAATATATTGAGATTTGGGCTCAGCTGGTTACATCTTCCTTATTTGGTCGGTCTTTCAATCGTGGAGTCTCCGTCGTTATGTAAACACCCAGTTGCAAGGTGGTAAATTCCCAGCCTATCAAAAAAACTAGAGACTTCTTGAAGACCTGGTAACTTGGGTACCTTGCTCTTCCGAAAAAGATAACACTTAGTCGGAATACGACATTTTAGGAAACACATAAACATGGAAAATCCGTAAAAGAAAAAAACATTGATATTTTCTTCCATTTCTTTGGATGACAGTTGCAAGAGGACAAAATGAATGGAGGAAGTGCTGGCATAGGCAATACATCTGGTAGCGGACATTTAAATTTGAGGCCGTATAATTAAATTTTGCTTACAGATTATTAGAAATTTTTTCCCTATTTTTTGGTCTGCATGTGCCGACTTCACATCTACTCTTTGGATACCAATACTTCTTCCATTCTACTCGTTTCCTTGCATTCGTCATTCACGAAGGTCTTCGAACTTTTCCCATGTGGGTTCGGTTTCTGCTTGTGGATTGTCGTCTTCGTTAAGAATGTTGCTGACTGGCCGATTCTAACTAGGGTTTTTCGACAGCCGTCCTAGAAGATCCTACTTCGATTGCAAGGCGTAAGCATTTCTCAGACACGTCTGATATAAATTTCCGCACAACGATGGGATAAGAAGTCTGGAGAGTCTAAGTGGGTCAATTTAGCACTGTGGGCGTCCCTTTGTTTATAAGAAAACCTAACGCAAAAGTGAAAGTAAGAATCTGGTACTCGGAAAAAAACCCTTTGCAGAAACCTTCTGTATTGTCACGTTGTAGCCGGGCGACACTTGTTTTGCTCCTGTGTGACGTGACCAAGGAATTTGACAGTTTGATAGTGTGTGATAGTTTCATAAAGAGCGACCTTAATCTCCGTTCTTGATAAGGTTTTTGCACTATTCAGAGGGTAAAGTCGTATAAAAGCTCTCTGTTAGTGCTATGTTTCAATTTTAGCACAGCCTTTAGCACACCGTATCAGAAAATTAGCTCTCTGACCTACGTGAACTAACTCTTTCAGGAGTGAAAGTCTTCTGCAAGGAGTAGGCGTAAAATTCCTTCATTTTTGTCAGTACATTTTTTTATGCTATGCTTGAACTTGTCTTTTTTTAGACAAAGAAAGGCTCAAAAACTGTATTCATGGAAATCTTATTGCCACAATTCATACGAAGCCTACTTATTCTTCTTTTATCAAATCCTGCTGTTCCGCAACGAATACCATAGCGATAATCGATATTGTTGGTTTGCTGAGAAAAGGGATTGCTCAGATTTCACTCGCAATTCCTATTGCAGCGAACACTCCTGAACTCTCATCAACATTGAAAGTGTTTGACTGAAATGCCTATTTGTGCAACAAGTGGAATTTAACTCGAAACGAGTTCTAAGCCTGTTAGTGCTTAACACAGACTTCTTTACATACATTCATCAATTTCAGTGAAGTTGTCGACTTGCCGATGCGTTAAGAAGCTGTTGGAAGCGTTACCCATTTGGCTAGTTGCGGATATTCTAGCTGCTGACAATTAAACAAACTTGTAGTATTTAGAATGTTGAGCGTGACCTTCACCTTCTGTTTGGTCATCCACGCGTATGCAGCACCGCAGTACTCGGACCCGTTCGCTAGGAACTACATGTTTCCGCTTAGCGCAGCTGCCTATTCGGACAACCCACAACGATGCATTAGCCACCTTTTTCTTAATGCCACGGTAAAATTTACTAAGTGGAAAAACGCATAGAAGCTTGATTATGCAAAAAATATTGGCAATAGACGCTGTTATTGAAAACAACAGCTCTTTACCAATAACAACAAAAAATGTTTAGGTTCGGCGCTCAGTCACCGTTCAATGCGACGGTCACCAACGTGACACTTGTTCCGGCTACACAGCTGTTCTTCACAACGAAAACGCTATAGTGTTAAGTTTCAGGTGAGCGCCGACATCATCGTTCCCGTTACTGGTTCGTTTTGTGCCGCTACCGTTCTTAATGAGTATTGTCTGAGATGGATGGCAAAATAACCTATTTTTCTTCTCAGGGGCACCATGAGATTTACTCAGTTGATACAGGAAATCAAAAAATCGGTTTTCGTAAGCTGGGTAAGGTTCATAGAAGATTTTTGTCACTTTTATCATTTTTCTCAGAATCTTAGAGAATTGTATAAAACTTGAGTGTTCATGGAATATGTTAAATAGTAAATTTAGAGCTCATGGCTTTTTGGTGGAAAAATTTCGCAATACTTCCATGATGGCTTTCAAAAAATTTGGCAAGGCGGAATGAATAAGGACTTCACTGTCCTCAAAACGATGTATCCCGGCTATGAAATTTGGGTATGCGTCGCATTTGGGTTTTTACGAAAAGCTTAACTTTTACTAAAATCGTTACCACTTCAGGTTACTGGGCATTCTCTTGGTGGTTCAGTGGCCTCCTTAGTAGCATCCTATCTAATCGGAACCAATTATTCTAACGCAAACGAAATCAAACTGGTCACATTCGGTCAGCCACGAATTGGCGATCTTCAGTTCTCCATCACTCACAATTCTCAGGTTTCCTCGCATCTTTTTCTCTTTTTCATAAAAAAAAATCCTTCTCAAATCAAAGAACACCTTCGCGCGTATAACTAGCAATAGTTGATAGCGATGGAAGCCCTTCCTAATTTATGGTTTGATGCCAAGGAAAAGTTATATTTCAGTTGAACTACTCATTCCGTGTTACTCACTGGAGAGACATTGTACCTCACATTCCTCTTGAGCAGATTGGTCGCTATTACCATCACAATCACGAAGTAAACTGAAGTTTTTCTTCTTCCACTGTAAATTTTGTTATTCCTCAACTCGCTGTTGTTCAGGCATTCTACAAATACAATATGACTCCTGATTCCGTCACTGTTTGTTTAGGTAACGGTCATCCTCTAGCTGTTCGTATCTTTTTTGTTTTTCTTCTCGATTACAAAATGCTTCCTACTATCGACCAGTGATTGTGTGCAGTACAGTGTTAAGAGATATGTTGCGTCTCCAGAAACATCAAATTAGCGTCATTACGAAACTTATTGACTATTTTGGAACAATTTATTCTACCTACTTGGTCATTTCCTATCGCTTTCTTGCGAAACGCGCGTTCAAGGGCAATGGATGTTGACTTCTCCTTCATGTTGCCCATGTAATGTGTAAGTGTTCAAGAAGTACGCAAAAGCAGGGAACGTTGTGGAATCGGAGGAAGCCGAAGACCTCTGCGTGCAGCCGAGTGCTGTTCCATTCGTTCTTTAGTTTCCTGGTGCTTTTATTGCCTCACCGAGTCGGTTGCTTTTCCTTGAAAAACTCTGAAACTATTTCACTTTAACTTCAATGATGCCGAGATATTTGGCAAACTCCGGACCGAAGGTGTCTGCGGTGGGAAACGAACGCGCTATTGTCCTTTCCGGGAGTGACGCGTTCACCACCACTCCATGCGGGTACTTCGCTTCGCCTGTCTCTCAGCTATTACACTTTATTATACGTTTTCATTCAAACCTAAGAAGAACGTAACTGAAACCTTCAGCGATGTCTGAACTGTTAAACATTAGTGTATCACTGGTAAAGAATTCGTTTTCTTTTGCACTCTTACAATGACACCATTTCGATGACCATAACGTGGCTGCTACCAGACGACTGCTTACTACTACTCCAGCTTTCTAAACACGTTCTCGATAGTAGTTTTGAATGTTTTCGGCGAATTACTACCAGAATTTGCTTATGATCTCTCCACCGCTCTTTTGAAAAAATTCAGTTTCTGTTTCTTGCGAACGATGAAAAAGGTCATCTGGCTTTAATCCCCTGCTCCACTCCACCTTGTTGCGTCCACGAAAATCCATATCTTGAAGAAAAACTGCTCTGGACGGTCATTTCTTGGCTCTACTATCACTAAGGTGTTTTCAACGCTTAACTTTGGAAGCTCAGGTGCCAGTTGTCAGTAACCTGTCACCTGCGACTTTTCATTAGATGGAAAATTGCTGAATACAGATTTAAAATTTTCATACTAAGCGTCGTCTATGAAAAGCGTATACAGCGCAGTGGTTACAGCTTCTTTCATATATTTACATGGTTTTATGTACTCAGTTAGTAACCCTTTCTTTCTCCGCTGGTCGGTAATACAGAGCTAAATTTTATTAGAATGTTGAGGAAGCTGGTGTAATACATTTGTACAAATCATTGAACGGACCAACTATAGGTTCAGACAACGCCATGTTGAGTACGATGAATGTCAATCACTCAGAGATTGGTCAAAATCGAGCATATTATTTTTACCTTCTCTATTTAACACGATTTTTTAAGGTAGCGAGGGTAAGAGGTGCAGTGACAGTTTGTGGTTCGCGGCCAGTATCGCTGATCACAGGCACTATTTCGAAAAAGACGTGTTCGACTACGGATCAAATGGTTGCGTGTGAAAGAAACTGAGTGAACAACTCAGTTATATTGCTATCTGTATATTGAGATATTCTGCATAGAATTCTAAATGAACTACATTTACTCGTTTCGATTACATCAGAATCAGCAGGTCCCAGCATTATTCGCGGCATCTGTTAAAATCCTCATTTCTCGTTTTCCCTGATAGCCAGCTCGATGCTATAACATAAAAGATCTATTTTAAGAACGCATTCCTCGGCAGTGATAAAACAAAGAATGCCAATTCATAAAGTAGTTCGTTTCCATAAACTGATTTCTTCACCCTGCTCTTAGGGTTCTTATCATTTCGCCGACGTTGTTCGATTACTGCTGACATTGATGTAGAGGTAAAACCAAAAGAGTCACCGATAGTAGCAACCAAGGCCGGGTATCTCGCCAAAAGCACCGATTGCTTTTTATAAAAATGTCTCTACTATTCCGCTTCAATGATTCGCCACTTAACCGCTGAAAGTGGTCTTCCTGGGTATTGGTTTGTGCTATATACTGGGATATGTATCATACAAAGTGGTCAATTAACTCGAAAAGATTTTTATTTCTTTCACCAAGAAGGTTAAATAGACATAAACCTATGCCATGGAACGCTGCCGTCCTTGTAGAAAGTTGACCACAGTTTGACAAGGTTTCTTTAGCTACACTAAGCTTTTCTATCGTTCATGATCGTGACATAGGAGCTCACTTTTACAGTTTTCTTAAAAATTAAGAGAAGGAAAAAAAGGGTCTTCATCAAATAACAAAGAAAGCAGCCGAATGGCAAATATGTAAACGACGACAAATAAAAGTCAACTAATTACCTGAGTAGAGAACTAGTTTATAAGATTTTTAAATTCTCCCTTTCGTCCGTCCTGCTGTTGAATGACTAGTGCGAGCTCTAGTAAAATCTCCATTTATTGCTTTTCAATTCATGTGTAGTTTAGTGGGTTGTGTTCGCTGTACAACTATTTGTACATCATATTTTTATTCCTTCTGCTGTGCGCTTGGCATTCCATAAGATTGCTTGCTATTGGCAATTGTTGGCAATTTGCAATTAACCCCAAGTGGCATGACTGAAGCTTTTATACCTTAGTGTACAAAATGGCGCACTTGACCTCAAATTGCCTACAAAGCTAGGGATTTTGGAATGCTTTTCTCTTTTGCGATACAGGGCATACTGGCATCACCGCCATCTCGGCTGCGTATTCGACGCAGTTGCATGACATCGACTTAGGTCGTCAGTATAAATATGGTTGATAGTAGATTTAAGAAAGGTCGTCATAGAAAACTTTTTTGTGGCTAATGAAGTCAGAGTAGTTAATGGTAATGATGTTGGTCTTCGTAGTTCCAACGAGTCAAGTCATCGCGGCTGTGAAAAAAGTGATGGCGCTGAAGCTTTGGTCACAATGAGAACTTTCTTCTAAAACAGTCGTGTGAGCATATCAGTGAACCAAAATATGGACACTTTTTTACCTGAGACTGATGAAAGGAACCAAAAACCGAAGGTGACCAATTATCGCAATCTAGCACAACTTCTTTTAAATTGTATTACAAGCTTTCTCGAAAAATGTGATTGAAAGAAGATAAAGAACCGGTCAATCTTTGAAGGATCTTCCATGCTGACAATTTCATCAAGCATCGCTAGAGGTAATTGAATGCATATCTGGTCTACCCTCTCAGACAAGCTGATGACGATTTTAGGACCTCTAAGGAATGGAAGGTTTACTGAGCCTGTGATGCTAATCGAACCCACAGCTGTGCACTTGTGCAACCAGAGTGTACCAGAGCACGACTAATCAATGCGCTTCCTTTAATTTCGTTATTCTTCTTATGTACAATCTACATTACGTTATTTAATATACTCGGCTCGTTATATCCTACTGGACTAGTCGGTCATCTCACCTTAGATTTAGCCGCAATCACAGAAGTAGTTCACATTATAACCGAATTTGAGTTGCATGGCAATAAACCTCCACCGAATCAACAGCTTCAAGCTACCGTATCTCTTGCCAAAGACCTGAGAATGACGTAAAATAGTTTCCTCGGGATTTTTGCCGAAGTGCCATTCGCTATGTCAACGAGCGGAAGAGCCGATAGAGTGTCAAATGTCAGCCGAAGTTTCGCACTAATTGGATTGGATAGATGGCTAGCAAAATTCGTGGGAGAACTGCTGAGATCCATATGTCATACGAGGTCGCGTAATCTTAGTGGGCGAAGTAACATTTTTTGCTTGTTTATTTTCACGGTCCACCAGCACAAATTCTCCCCATCTTTGTGTCAGCGCATTTTTTCTACTTAATTCGTTGTTTTGCATCTGTCATCTACACAGGTGGACATTCGAGCGCCACATAAGAATCTATCATCTTAATTTTCCCAACACTTCACCATAGCAAAGAACTTTGCCAGCTGTAAGAAATACTTCCTAAACAGATTTGATTCTAATTTCACTTTACAGCGATAGGAAGTCTCGTTATTCAAGACGGGACCGAACCACTGACCATGCGTGTACTACACGATATCTCTAATCTGTTGCATGTAACCACTGTGCTCCAGTCTTTTATTAGGCCGATTATGAGTGAGATGCAGAACTAATGATTGTATTTGAAATACAATCGTTCTCATAAAAAGCCATTCTAGTCGAATTTTTCCTAATATCTCTGTTAAGTTCCTCTTGTTAATTCCAGTACATCATATCGTGTTTTTATGCATTGAGTTATACGGTAGGCCATAGTCACATGTGTATGATCCTAACTATTCAGTTCGACTGGATCTTTTGCAACTCTCATCATCAGTGACTTTCGCATTCATCTTGAAGTTCAGCTTAGAGTTGACCATTTGTCATTTCCTTTCCTACTACAACACATCGTATGAAGGCAAAGCCTGATTTTTCTTTACATCCTTTGGCAGCCGTAATAGAGCGCTTGCAGCCGGTCATCATAGGCTTTCAGTGGCCTTCGCATTTCAGATGCAAATTCGATGCCTTGTGACACGGTCTGGTAAAGAACGGCCGTGATTTTGTGGTTAAAATAGTAACTCTTGATCAATCACTCGACAGATCGAAGACAATGTCAACTGAGCCTCATTTTCCAAAATAATTAGTAAGGACTTTCTTCATAAAGGTATCTATTATGCAGTCAGGTTTATACATTGCCTGCGATTGCCTACGTCTAGCGATTTCCATTGGCACAAGGCCAATATTACATACGGTACGATTTCATAGTGAAATCCAACCATATCTCGAAAGCATGTATTTCTATGTATTTATCACAAATTTCTTTTCCTGGTTTTCTTTTTCCAGAATTCTACACGAAAACTGTATATTTTTATGAAACTGATAGTTTCTTATCGTAGACCGATTGCTCTGATAAAAGTTCATAACATCTACCCGTTCGATATAACGCATTAGTGACACCCCGTCAAAAAAAGACGATCATGGCAAATAACCACGTGCTACAGAAATTTAACAACAAATCCCAGTGTGAAGTAGATAGGTAGTTTATTCTCATAAAACTCGTAGTGCTGTGGGAACATATGAAGGACATCGTATTCTTTATCTCTCTCGAAAGAAATCTATCTATCCACACTGGTTCGGAAAAACAGTAAGTGAGGATAAAAACCTCGCTACGCCTGACTCGTGTCGTCGGGCGACCGGTGAGAGATCAAAGAATAATATTCGTGAGCGTTCTGCTTTTGATCAGTTCATAGTGACTCATCGTGCATTCGACTCCAGCAAAGTTCGTAGATGTAATTGAATGGATGCTTAGTCAGCTGGACTTCTGCGAGTCCACCAATATATCAGCTTCGAGTTTTTATCCTCTCGAACAAGTCTGGTATAATTTTGCGGACTCAAATGGGATGACGGATTTGCTTTGCCAGGGCATGGAAGGCTCGTCCTATACATACCATCCGTATTCAAGCAAGCCAGAGGAGTGACACCAGATGTAAACATGTGAGAAAACAACGACAACATTAGAATGATAATGTAGCTCCGATTTCACTTTGATTAAAAGCTAACTCGTACCACGAATTTTAAGTGTCAACTGATACACAGGGTTTCACTAACTCCCGGTTGGCTCGCTGCTCCGAGAGGTCCCGGTTGGTGATGAGGCACAACGCTTCATGTCATGCTTCGAAGGATCGCTAAATATGTGGGNCTCGCTGCTCCGAGAGGTCCCGGTTGGTGATGAGGCACAACGCTTCATGTCATGCTTCGAAGGATCGCTAAATATGTGGGTAAAAATATTGGAATAAGTGTATTATGCGACAGCGTGGTTTATCGATTATAGCAAGTAAAACAATCACACATTTTTATTGGCTAATGAGATCGTTCTCCTTTTATTCATTGGTGAGTGCAAGGCATTTAATTCTGGGGTAGCTCCCATTTTCAATCGTTCATCATTAAGGCAAGGTAGTAATGATCAACATATTCTTGGTTTCTCTTCTTTATCAACATCAGGTTACCTTAAAAATTCAAGAGGGTATTCTTTGTAATCTTTGTAATCATATAATATCTACCATAACATTAGGAACAGATGATTAATTCGTCGTTCTAGTTGGTTTGAATAGGCAGCGACGCTGAGTGGAAACATGTGATTCCTAGCAAACGAGTCGGAGTACTGCGCTGCTCCATACGTGTCGCTCATCAAGTAGGAGAAGAACATGATGGACAGCATTTTAAAAACAGGAAACTTGTTTGTTACGATCGTCAAGCATTATCACTGCAGTTGGTGGTAGCTCAACACGTAATTTTGCTAGGTGTTCTCAAAATCTTCAGCAGTGCGATGATGTCATCGAAGTTCATAGGAGTATTGATCAAGATATGAGGTCAGCCATACATTGGCCCAGGACTAATATTTTTTAACGATAGTTTTGCTACTGTTGAAATCGTTGAGTTTCTGATACCTACAGTATGGTTGGGAGTTAAAGAATTTACATTGCTATTATTCCCAAGACCGGTTTTCTATTGATCTCGACATTGATTAGTAATCCGCTGTTTTCTTCATGAGTTAAAGGAGGTTGTTATTATGCTATTCTTAAAAACAGTTCAACATTCGGTGAAGTTTACCTTCTTCAAAGGTTGGGAAAGTGAAGAAGACCGCAATGTAGACAGCCGACTACCTCCATAACCTTACTAGAAAAGCAAGAAGTTAAAATTTCAATAGAATTGAAATCAGAAGAGCTTCTTCACACACTGTCGGCTTTCCATGGTTGATCTCTACATGGAGAACTCAAAAAAAACTGTGAGCGTGTGAAGAAACTACTTTGTTTCCAATGTGATTGAAATTTATGCTTCGTATTTCTTCCGTTGAGGGCATGTGAGCACCTGGCTGATTAAATTGCGATCGACTTATCCTTTACAGTCCCTGAAAAAACTTACATTTGCCTAAACGTTAGCTACTATTAAAAGACGAAAGAGCGGCTAGCTCGTGTGTACTCGTCGAGAAAGCAGCGAATTTCTATTGCAATGGAAAAACGATAATCTGTTTTCCTTTTAAATCACCCACCTAAGACAACAATGGGTCCTTCGTTTCATCTGTCTTTCAACTAGTTTTCTATCTACCAGTGGTATTACAAAGAATACTAAGTGGAACTCAGCAACTCACTGGAAAGAAAAACTTGGTAACTAAAAAAGCTGTTAATGTTCTTCCCTGGTATGGGACATGCAGAGGTATTGAAATTCTTCTGGCATTCTTTATTTCAATCCGTTATTGGCCCTCTTCGACAAATAAACGAATGAAAATGTACATCAACGTTTCCATCACTGGACCGTTCTTGTCCAATGTCGCTCCTCGTATCTTTTGCCTTAAATAAATAACAAAATAACCTGTTTTCTCCTCAAGGGCACCAAAACGCTTTTGCGCTTGATGGAAGAGATCGAAAAATCCGTCTTCGCAAGCCGGCTATGGTTTTCGGAAAATTTCTGCTTCTTCCGCTTTTTATAGGACTGTTTAGAACATGTTATTAAATTTGAGTGCTTATTGAATGTTTCAAATAATCAGTTTAGATATGTATTCTTTCTTGATAAGCTTGCATGAGGTTGATAAATATATTTATTTTCGGCTAACGTTTCGACGTCTTCGTCTTCCTTAGAGCCGGTGATCCGAGTCGATGGTCCATGCTTGTTGTTCGTCTCGACGTTGCGTCTTCGCCTTCGTGTCGAGCCAGATCTTCCTCAGTGAGCCATCTTCTCGAATGAGGCATCCTCGCTCAGTGATGCCCTTTTATACACGATGCTGATGGTGGATATATAATGACAATGTCCGGTGGTAACAACTTGTGTTTCTTCCGGACATACATCATTGCGCACATCGAGCAGAGGTCGGTGTATTATCAGCTCGCACAAAGCGTAGTAATATTTCGAAACCGACCTTCCCTAAACCTCGGTGTGACTAATCAATATGTATCACCTGGTCTGCACAGAATATGGTCTGGATAAACCTTCCGCAAGTCCTCATAAGCACTCTGGTTTTGCTTTTTACACTTTAACTGTTTGAATGCAAGGTCCATATTCAATGGAAGACCAGCAAAACCGTGTTATTGTTCAAGAAGGATGACCTACGCCGTATCGGCAACTATCGCCCAATCTGCTTGCTGTCTGCCGTCTACAAACTCTTCACTCGAGTTATCCTAAATAGGATTGACAGAACACTAGACGAAGGGAAGCCATGTGAGTAAGCAGGGTTTCGAAAAGACTTAGTATGACAAACCAAATTAACGCAATAACAAGAGTCATCTATCATAAGAGTAAAAGACACCGCAGCTTCTCACGTTCATCGATTCTAGGAAAGCTTATGATTCAGTTCAGATAGAGGCAGCCATGGATGCGCTGCATAGCCAGTGCTTCCCTTCTGAGCAAGGGTCTCTGTGAGCCAAATAAAATTTTCACAACCAAAATATCACCACTGTAATGACGCTGAAATATTTGCAAAACTCCGGACTGCTGGTGTCTCCGGAGGGAAACCAAATGGGGTACAACTCTTTCCGGGGCTAACGCGTTCACCACCACACCCATGCGTACCCTTCGTTTCGCTCTTCTCTTAGTCTCTTTTGCAAATCCCTCAGTATCATTATGGTTGTAGTTCTTATAATGCCCTGCATTAAAAAATATTAGGTAATAAATGAAATTTTGTGATATCATCAATGTATTACGATATTAACGTCGAAGTTAAAACGGGAGTAAGGCAAAGCGATGCCTGTATCACCTGTATCACCTGCAGACTCGTTGATTGTCGAGTGACTCGAGCGGGCGCCAGTTAATCTTCCATTTTTCATTGTCGCGTGCAAGAGTAGCCCAGTGGGTTCTGCTTGCTCTAGGAGCTCGTCGAACGTAATGTCTTTCTTCAAGGCTCTTTGTGAAGAACTCTGACCATTGGGTCGGTGGTTCTTGCAGTACGTTTGACATCCCGAGGAATCCAGTCACTAACGGCTCTTGTCCATCGGTTGTCATTCATACGCACTACGTGTCCGGCACACCTTATGTTCGATTGTTTGGCGTACAGAACGGCATCTTTGATTTTGGTCATTGACGCAGGTCGGAGCTTCGGATCCCATCCCTTACTTGTATGGAACGGGATACTCCTAGCATTGTCCTTTCGACTGTGCGTTCGATAACGCTGAGTGACCTTTTAAGCTGCTTACGCAGTAACCAGGTTTCTGACGCATACGTTAGGGAAGGAAGTACTGTTGAGTCGAAAAGGTGGGCGCAGTCAGGAGTCGGGTGTTTTTTATTTTCTTCACTTAATCCTTAAGAAAAATGTAAAGAATTATTTGATCAACGCTGTGGTTAATAGGAAGTGAGTCGCAGGAATTACACTTGAGTCAGTTGAGAAAGATGTGGGCATGGACGCTATGAACCATAACCTCCCTTCTTAGTATTCTTTATAAGCCACACGAAATTTCTGCAAGCAAAATACTGCCATTCTACGACGGCATTAACAACGATGTCAAAAGAGAGGTTAAGCGAGGCAATGCCATCTCTTCAAAATTATTTACCACCGCTCTCCAGAACGTCAGGTGAACATTGGAATTGGACAACCTGGGAGTGCAAATCCATGGTCGGCAATTACACCATCCTCGCTTGCTGATTTCATCGTTCTTATTACATCAAACATAAGCAAAGAGGAGCAAAAGCTTGCCGACTTTAGTAGCGCTTCTGGAAAAATTGGTCTTTGACTAAATCTCATAAAAACGATGTTCGTTAGGTACGGATTGGTTTCGCATGCCCCATTCACGCTTAACGGAATAAATGCGTCCGAGTGCTATAGTTACGTCTGTCTTGGTCGGGAAATCAACGTGGTGAAAGACTTAGCTCCAGAGCTGAGGAGAAGACGAGCGGCTCGGAGTGTTTTCAAAAGCATCGAGGTCGAGGGTGTAGTGTAAAGAACAAAGAACATCCGAAGCCGTGCCCACCTTTTCAACTCAACACCACTTCCTGTTTTAACGTACACGAAAATTCTTGTAAAAAGATATGATGCCCAGCAAGTTACTAGAGCGTGCAAAACCTACTGTGGGGCTGTTGTAAGCGTCAGGAAAAAATAGAAGATTTACTGGCGCTAGCTCGAATCACTCTACGATTAACAGAACGACAGGTGATGCAGGTGAAGGAAAATGAATATATGCCGATTGTATGGGGAGCATGCTGGACGAAGCTTGTTCATGTTTCTTTAAGCAGCACAAAAAATCGCCAAAGCCATTTTGTATTATCATCTTTCCAGTGAAAGGCATCTATTTTGTCTTTATCATTTATAAGTTCCTGCACTGTCGCGGATGTGAGAGTGATAAAACATGTGATTGTCTTAAGAAGAATGATAGTCATTTGCACGCGCTCTAGATAAGCCCAATTCAAAGAATTTATTCACTGCTCGAAAAAAGGCGGCGGTATAATAGCGCTCCGTTAGCAGTTTAATTCAGTTCCACTAAAGCTTTCATTATCAGCAAAAAATGTCTGCTTTATCTGCCCACAGTAAGAGTTAGAAGTGATACCTATCTTTCTATGCAGGTGCATCAAACTCGTCCACTTTGATTTCAAAAACTGCATCATCTCCACTTTGGAAGTAACTTTTTTAGGACAGACGTCTAGTCAAATGTGTTAAGTGGCACTCTGTTTAGTAGAAACCCTGTAAAGTAGTTCTCTTTTTGCCAGTATCTTCACTTTCATTTCAATAATGAATGTCCTGCTCGTAGTTAACCAAGACTGATAATTCCACAAATTGCTTCGATCGCAGGATTTCTCAACTTTCATCACTTCCATCAGTGTCGGATTATGTGCTATAAAATTAATTTCTTCTTAACTCTTCTTAAAATAGAAACTCTGAAAAAATTAGCACCCGGAAGGGATTTTTCCACATACATTTATGAACTTCAGTTATCCTAATCGTGTTGCAAAAGTGTCGAGAAAATGTTGGAAGCATTGCGCACTTAACCTTTCACGAATGCTGTAATCATTTACGATCACCACGAACAACTTTGAGGTTTTCAGAATGTCATCCATAATGTCCTCTCCTTGCCCAGCTACAGTATGCAGCAGCGCAGTACTCGGACTCGTTTGCTAGGAATTACATGTTTCCACTCAGCGCCGCTGCTTATTCAAATCAACCAGAACGATGCATTAGCCATCTTTTTCCTAATGCTACGGTAAATGTTACTAATTGGAGTGTAAGAGCTTACTAGAAAAATAAGGTTTTTTGGGGTTAAGGAAATGAGATCTGATTTGTGTAGTAGAACATAGAAGCAATGATTTCATTATGATGTCGACATATTTGCAAAACTGCAGGCCGTAGGTGTCTGCAGTGGGGATCGAACACGCTATTACCCTTATCGAGGGACTAACATGTTTACCACCACACCGTAAAAATCCTTCGTTTCGCCCTTCTGTCGGTTGGTTTTTAACTAGCAGTACTATCAACACTCATCCCATTGTTTGGCGGGTTAAATACGCAAGCCTCTGTGAGGCTTGAAGGGCCCGATACATGGCACATCAATAAGGGATTGATCACGCATGAGCACTTTAACGCTTTTGTAATAAACAGAGACTTTACGAGAGTAAAACTATTAGCAAAAACTCGATTTAAAACAGTGTGAAGCTTTACGAGTGAAGCTAAAAAATATTCGGCTTAGACGACAACTGACCGTCCAATGCGACTGCTATCAACGTGACACCTGTTCTGGCTTCACGGCCGTTCTTCACAATGAGAAGGCGATAGTGCTCAGCTTCAGGTGAGTGTCCAGATCAACCATTTTACCACTGTTTTGTCTTGCCCTGATATCTTTCTTCGTGACGATAGTCTTAGACGAATGACAAAATAACTTCGTTTTCTTCCTAGGAGTACCACGAGATTTATGCAACTGGTGGAAGAAATTGAAAAATCGGTTTTCGTAAGCTGGATATGGTTCGTCGAAAATCGTCATCTCTTGCATTTCTTTCTAGTATTCTAGAAAGATTAGTAAGATTTCAGTGTTTGAGACAAGAAATTCAAAGCTCATGGATGTTTGGAGTAAAAGTATCAAAATACTTCGGTGATGGCTTTCAAAAGCCTTGGGACGTCGGAATAAAATAGGACTATATTGCCCTCAACAGGATGTATCCCGTCTATGGAATTTGGGTATATGCTACATTTCGCTTGTAAATGATGTTTTTACAAAGAGTTTCAGCTTTACAGAATCGTTAGCGTTTCAGGTTACTAGGCATTCTCTTGGTGGTTCACTGGCATCGTTAACAGCCTCGTATCCAATCGGTTCCAATTCTTCGATGCCGAATGGGATGAAATTGGTCACCTTTGGTCAACCACGAACTGGCAATTTGCAGTTCTCCATCACTCACAATTCTCAGGTTTTCTCTCATCTTTTTCCTTTTTCATAAAAAAATTTCTTTCTTAAAGCAAAGAACACTTTCTCGCGTATAAGTAGTAGTAATGGATAGCGATGAAAGCCCTTCATAATTTGTGGTTTGATGCCACGGAAAGTCCGCGTTTCAGTTGAAGTACTCATTCCGTGTCACTCACTGGAGAGGCGTTGTGCCTCATATTCCGCTTCAGCGGGCCGTTCATTGTTATCATCATAATGAAGAAGTAAACTGAGGTTTTTCTTCTTTTTTTCCTGTGAAAATTGTCATCCCTGGAGTCGTTGTTGTTCAGGCGTTCTACAAATACAACATGGCTGCAAATTCGGTTATCATTTGTTCAGGTACCATATAAACCCTAAGAGAGCTTCTGATGTAATACATCTTTAACAATGTGTGTAAGTTTTTTTAAGGAAACAAAGATATGAGATGTAGTGACGGTTTGTGGTTAAACTCAAGTATTGCCGAACACAAACATTATTTTGGAAAACAGATGGACGATTACGGAGAAAGTGGCTGGGTGTTGAAGGAATAATAAGTTCTTAGAACTAAGTGAAAGGCTCAGTTTTAAACCAATAAAACTTGCTTTTTTCGACTTTTGTCAAACCAGTCACGTTCTCATTTTGTTCACGATATCCGTCTGAAGTTCACTCTTTTCGTACTTCTTGTTAACGATTTTGACACGCCTAGGTAATGAAGCGCCTGATGATTTGTATAAAGATTCTAGTATCACGATCCTTCCACGGTTTCACTTCACCGCTCGGGCAGATGTTTTTAATCGCTGAGCTGTAACATGGGCTAGGACGCTCATCCTCCATCGTGGTTTAGCAGGTTAATAAAAAAATGGTTTTTATTGCCCTCGTCCTATATCATGAATTGCTCCTGCCCTTGAAGAAAGCTATCCGCGCTTTACCAAAGCTTCTTGCAATTCCTTGGTGAGCACCTGTGACGTGAAACTTGGAACGCACTTCCGATGTTATCTTGGAGTTCAAGAAGAAACAAAAAAGGTCTTCATTGAACGACCGAGTTTTGGTGAATTAGCACGATTCACGAGTACGAATCAATACAGTATCAAATTAGACAACTGTCTCGTAATCTTATTGTCTTGCTATTTTTTTAATCCTAGTTGTTAATCCTAGTACAAACTTTCGTTTAACCTTGTAAATGTCTTGGTTAATCCACGTGATTAAACCAAGTGATTGAAAGGCTTTTATGACAGCGTCAGCTGAGATACATTGTTGTCACTATCATTATCATTGCTGTTACTATCAGGTAAGAATGCCGTTGTAAAAACTTGGAATGGCATCATAAGTAACGGGTAAGAGTGCGAGTCACTTTACTTTGCTACTTTAAGGGACACGAACTGCGCAACACTTTTTTCATGAGACTCTTTATTCACTTGCTTTGACGAAAGCATAATCAGTAGCTGTTCTCCAGACTCCGTTATGGCATACGCTCACACTTATGATGGAAGAGATTTTCCCTTACTGGGTATCTTGATGGAAATGTGAAGCTTCTTGTCTGCTTTAAAAAAACGTGAGCTAACTAGCAGCCAGCACGAAGCAGCTCTAAATCCTTGAAGCCAATTAGATATGTTTCCTCTACCTTACTGCTTCAAGACTTATAGTTCGTGAAAGAAAATAAGCGTACAAATGAGATTTCGTGCAAGAGAACATGGTGGTGTTCCTCAATGTACTACGTTTGCTCCAGTAAGGCATTACCAAAGCAGGTTTTTCACTAAAGTGTGCAGTAATTAGCTCCTATGGAAAGGGAAGGGATCGAATAGAAAAAGCGGTGGAATCCGCACAGTAGTAGTGAATACGGATTGTACAGAACAAAACAAGTTTTGGAAAGTCGAACCCTAAATTTTTGCAACCATCAGTCTATCATAATCTATAATAGATAGAATCATAATAGATAAGCTCAAAATCGTCAACCTCTATCTGTATTGTTACAAGTTCGGCTACTTCACCCTTTCACTCCCATTAAAAACGACCTTCAGGGTTTTCTATTGACATAAATTCTACCCCGTTAGGAAGACAAAAACCAACTTTTTCATAAAGTTACCTCATTTCACATTGTGCTTCATGCTCTCCTACCGGTTGTCATTCATAAAGATGGAGACGTCTTTGTAAAAATTCTATTTTTCTTCCATTCTTAAACTCGGATAACAACAATTCCTTAGGCCCTGGATATTCGCTCAATGTCCTGATCGGTTGAAATTTCACCAAGAACGCCCAATCAGTCTTTTATGAAAAAAATAGCTGCAGGTCAAGAATTCGGAATCTTCTTTTTCACTTTGAGAAAATGCCTTAAACAAAAACATCGAATCATATAAAAGGTGGTTCTCCAACGTTTTAAATGAACGCTCAAAAACCATTTCTGAAGAATGGACATTCTTAGTTTTCCAGTCTTTGGAAGTTTCTGTACAGTAGTTTGCCCTTTAAAAAATGCTGCACGAAATTCAGTCACATTTACCTTACTTTTCGAGAAGGGAAGCTTATGAGTGTAGTCTTTGTATTACTTGTAAGCTAAGAAATGTGCTATGGTGTCTAATTTAATCGGGTGTACCCATTTGACATGGAGCAGTGATAGGAAAGAGATTAGTGACGCGTCCACATCGACCGACAATCGCAAAAATGTCAGAGTTTCCTAAAGTTTCTTTTTCTTAGGGCTATAACGATTAATAGGATCATTCATTCCATTATACAGGAGTGCAATTGACTTAGACATGGAAAGTATTTGCTTAGCCCTGTTTTTAATGCTATTAGAGTGCCTTTCTTTTAGCGTCAACTTTGCCACTCAAAAATGTAATGTATAAAAAGGAGACTTTATATCGAAAATACGAAGATCGAAGCCCGACAAGCTGACCACGAAAGATTTTAAGAGAACTTCTTCTATGTGAATAATATCCATCTACCTCATCTATTATCACTACTATGGTGGAGCAACAGTTCTATCGCTTTCTATTGCTTTTTTATCATCTACACTAAAAAACGGGAAGTGGCAAGGTGACACCATCTCACCAAGGCTGTTTACCACCGGATAGTGAAGTGGCATGATTTGAATGAAAACAGACTATTCACTGGTGTGAACTTCTTTTCGTGCGTAATCGGAATCGTACTTTAGAAAAGCGCCATTAAAGCAAGGACAATATCGATGAACTAAGTGGATTGAGAAAGCATAGAATTATAAGTTTGAGAACCAACACAAAGAAACAGTAGTATGATTAACGAAGATTCAAATGAGTGGTTCCTTGCTTGCAACCATATCCTACCCGAACGTAGTGCGTCCTCTAAACGTAAAGAACGAGTTGAGCAAAATGAACAAGAACGTAGGGTTGTCTTCGTGCCTCTTGGCGAAGTTATAGATTAACAGGCGAACGTGAAAAACTGTTCAACTTTTTTGACTCAATAATTCTGCCTTCTCTCATTTATGTAGCTGAGACGGAGGTTGACATCTCAAATCTCTATGTACAACTTCAATCTTGGCAACATTGTTCGGATCATCGAAAAATATATACTTTCCTAGATCTGTGGAAGCGGACATCGAAAGCAGAACTAATGTGGTGAAGTGGGTCTCAACCAGGAATCATCAGCTCAGGGTTAGCAAACTAGTGCTTGCAGTTCTGGGAAGGCTACCTCCGGTCCACAAAGACCGAACGTCATATATACTAAGGATATGAGAATGGATATGAGCAAGCGTTTATTCCGTTCGTTTATTACATTTCAATTGAACATCCATATGTCAATTTTACCTGCCGGGGTTATGAAAGTATTGTAGTGAGCGAAATGGGTGTCAATTCGACTCCCAAGTATGAAGAAGATGAAGCCGCAGACACGTCAACTATTCCGAATGAGTAATTGCTGTAATAACAAGTTCGTGTTTACTCACTAAAAAACGGTTAAATATTTTATTTTGAAATTATCACTACTGCAAAACAGCTTTAAACCTCTTATGAGTATCGCAGGCGTCCATTCGATCCTGTACCCTGTGCTAGCTAAACCACTTGCCCCCGTGGTCTGCAAATCGATACTAACCCTGTTCCAGAGAAATAAAAACACTATTTCTATACGTCAAAGAAGAAGGTAGACAAGCCATTCTGTAGGCCAAAAACTTATTAAACCACCTCTAACATGATTAATTTGGGCGGATGTGTTGTAAGTAGTAATAATTGTTGTACAGATCACGGTATGAGACTCGCAACTGTCAGCATGCTCTAGTAAAACTACCACCACGGACGACGTTTCCGCTGCAAAAAAAACGAATGGAAGATGTGCTGGGGTCCGCAAAGCGCGTGAAAACAGGCCGGGCGGAATTCATGGCTCATCCCAAAAAGACTGATCAACGACGAGAGCTGTAGTCTTTTATCTTTTGCAGCAAAGCACCACGAACCAGTTGTCACACTTCAAACAGAAATTTATTCCGGAATATCTCCGCATTTATTAGATCGGTCAGAGGTGGAACAGCTCGAGATGAAATGTCATACAAAGCAAATATGACCTTATAATAAAATTTCGAAAAAAAATGTCTTGCGAACAATATCATCCTCTAAGGTTGAGAGGAGGGCAAAGCCATGGCCTGGATTGGTGTGGTGAATAGAACGTTAGCCCCCATAAGGGTGATCGAGAGTTCGAAGTCCAACTGAAGCTCGGAGTCTTGCATGTATCTCAGCATCATTGTGGCTACGTTTCATATCGTATCTTGAAATAAGAAAAAATGTGCACTAAATAGATGTTAATACGATGTAAAATCATCTCCTGTTCCATAGATTTTGAGTAACTATGGAGTAATTCACCCAGCCTTGATTTCCAAGAGATATGATCTGCAAGAAAATTAGAAGTTTGCATTACGTATCTCTCAAACTATTTCTTTAAAAAGCTAAAAGAAAAGCAGCTACTTACTTGTATGTTGTTTCTGATGTCTGCTAATCGTTGTCGCTTCATCCTCGCCATATAAATCCTTGACATTAATGGTAGGGCGAGTGTGTAGTAATTAAAGAACTAAAATCAACGCAGCATTTATGGAATACTGAACAATAAAACAAAAAGTAAAAGGATGAAAATGGAGGGAATTAAGCTGATGTCTATCGACTCGAGAAAAACGTTTGAGAGCAATCAATAGGTATAGATGGTGTTTAAATATCTGATGGCAAAAGATCAATAAAACTAGTTGAGAGACAGGCAAAGCGAAGTACCCGGATGGTGTGGTGGTGAACGCGTTACTCCCCGGAAAGGACCATAGCGCGCGTTCGTTCCCCACCGCATACACCTGCGGTCCGGAGTTTTGCAAATATCTCAGCATTATATACGAGTTATATTTCGCAACATATTCTGCCATTAAAAAAAAAGGCAGTAAGTTAAAGGGTTAAGAATAGGTGTGGAAATTTTTTTTGGTGTATGTGGCCCGCTCTTCTAAGCGCGCTGCTTTGCTTAGCACCTACGTCAATGCTCTCCTGGTAAACGATCGAGAAAGGAAAAGTATCATTATAGAGACGAATAAATAACGTTATAATGTCAATGACGAAGAGTGTAGTGAATTGGATGAGTAGAATCCAGAACAGCATCTCACTTGACACCCTATTCTCCATCGACTGGTACCGTGACGATAGTGACATGCTGAACGATTTCTATCATCAAGCGCCGATAATTGTAAACATCTGCATACAAGCTTTCTACAAGCTTTACTCACTATCACTTGCACAAAAGACGGCCCTTACTTTCTCTGTTTTTTTTATCGTCTACAAAAAAAAGTTTTTGCATTTCTAAACTCTTTAACGGTTTATTTAACGATAGACAAACAGGATTTCTTTCCTTTATACTCACCGAAATGTCCGTCGTTTATTCGCATAACGCAGAACGACTGTACACACTAATCCCAAAAAATTTATCAACGCCATCGTTAGAACTAAAGCAATGAATAGAGTGTTACTTCCGGCAGGATCCTCACGCCAGTTCAAATGAAATCCCTCGAAATTTGTGTTCCGATAGAGGACCACAGTAATAGCTGTGGTGACTGTGATCTAAATGAATAAGTTAAAGAGATAGCGAAAAATAACGATGATTCGGTCATTCGTGTGAGGCTTAAAAATAATATCGGAATCACTTTCCATGTTCTCTTACCACTGCTGTAATCAGAGATGGGCCGATCCTCTCATATTTTGACTCATAGTCTTGAACGAGTACAGTTGCTATACATCTTTCTATTAATACAGCGATTTGAGAAAACTGAGCGGAAAGCACGATAAATACCATAAGGACACGAGAAGAGGCATAGACGAATTTTGACAAGAAGATATGACACGGGTCGGTGGACAAGAATGGCTTCAGCAAGTAGTGTAACTGTAATGAGAAAATTAACGATGATGGAGCAGCTACTTCAATAGCAAATGGATTTGCAACAAATTATGCGCTATAGTAAAAATATTAAATCGTATGGCATAATGGTTTGAGAATCTATGCACTACACACTTGGTGACTGGTTCCATCTCGCACCGTGGTTCAAAACAAGCTACCCTTTGTGTTCCTCCGAAAACGGCAAATTGATGCCGAAGATTCTTGAAGAATAGAAACACCAATTTTGGAAATTCGTAGGCACCAGCTAATAATTTTATAAACCAAATATGCTTTCAGTCATTTCTGTGATGCTAGTAAAATAAAGTCCTGTGTATGACACATTATTAGTGGAGTGGACAACGCTTTCACGTTTGGATAAAATTATTCAAAAATCAAAAAAGTTGTACCTTCGTTGAGTTTTTGTACTTTTCGGAGCCAGAAACATGATATCCGTTTTCTTTAAACTTTGTCCTGAGGTACTTTATGAGTAGGACATAAACCTCTGATGTTGAGGTTAGACGTCTTCATAGCTTACTCGACGAACTTTCTCAGAAGCACATAAAGCTTTTTTGTTGAGAGCAAAGTCAAGTCGGTCACTGTCATCCACTTCGCTCTCAAATGACTCTTTTTTTCCAATTTGATATTCAAGTCTCAATCAGCAAAGATATCGCAGGACAATCGCACCTGTGCACGTATGACAACTTGCATGTGTAAAGCATATTTCAATCCCAGAAAACAAAAACGGATATTTCAATCTTTGATCATTCTAAGTAGAGGGACGCTTTTGATCCGACTTAAACTATTTATTTATTAAACTATCTACAGACACAGTACGTATCCTGACAACTAGCTGACTGGAAATAAATTGTTATTGAAAAGCTAAAGTATTCCCACTTTCGCACTGTTTCAAAATTTTAAGTGGGATTACAAACCTCTATTTTAAAACTTGTCAAAACTATAAATTTTAACAATTAGCTTTTTATGGGACCTGAAAGAGACCTTTTCTGCTTAGCGTCTCCAGTACACTTTTTTTTTTGGTATCACGTTCCGCTTTTCTCTTCATGTTTATTTTCTCAACATAAATGTTTTTGATCAGCAAATATAAGAAACTCCTGCTTTTGTCCTCGCATGCAGGTGTGATAGAAATTTTCCGACACCAAATAAATAGGTGTTTTGGTTTCGCCTTGTGCGTGGTGCCCAACCAAAGGCTGTGTGCTTTATAGTGCACCTCACACCACTGAGCCACTAGTGCTCCGTTTTCTTTTACTTCATTCGACCATGAGGCAGAGATAAACTTTATACGATTCCGGAAACCGACCCTCAGTGCAATATTGAGGCAGGAATAAATCAAGCAGCAAAGATACCATAAAAGAAGAACCATCTGAAAAATTTCCATTGTAACCGCTGCGGAAAATTCACAGTTTTGTTATTTTTTTCGCCGGATTTTTTAAAATGTGTACTTAAATAAAGCAGTAACAGAGGGTACGATGAATTTCTTCGAGTTCTCATCTTCTGAAAGAGCCTTCGATCTGAGGGTTTGGAAAGAAAAAAAGAGAAAAAAAAAGCTGAAATAAATATTCACCTTCAAATTTTTGTGAAATACTGATAAGTCTTTGTAGTGGTTACCAAAAAAATACAAAATATAGGAAGCCGATAAAACCGATACAATGAACGAAATAATCAAAGAGCAACGATAATGCCAAGAGGTAGCAACAAGGACTCCGTTCTGAAAGTCCATATGGAAAATATATAGATATGAACATTGTGTAATGACTGGATTCGTACGCAAAAGTTGGAATTATTTACTTAAATTTCCCAAGAGTACTGTATAAATAAAAAAAACAAGTGAAATATTGTTGTCGTGCAGACTAGCTGTTAGATCCAATGCCTTAACAAGAAATTGAACCGAGCCTCACATGTTAATTACCGTTTCGTAAAGAATTTGATAGGAAGCACAAACTTAGATAAGGACTGTTAGATATTCTTTCATGTTTCGCCGGGTCCAGTTGAAGCAAAAGTGCTTACTGCCCTCCAACAGTGTGATTGCAGTTCGTTGACGATTTCCTTCACTTACTTGGATACTTCGACTACTTATGTTCACGCATTGTACGTACCCCTAGTTACTTTCGTCCTCGTCTTGTTGACTCGCACCTGCCATCCACAAAAGTGGTTGAGCTCGAGTGTGGACTCTGGTGCAATTTGCGGATCTTTGAGCATGTCAACGAGCAGCAAAATTTCAAATGCTGGACAATCGGTGTATTCTTCTAAAACTAGGAACTAGATGGGCTAATGGCTTCTCAAGTCGTTGTCACAGGCCAGCTTTTATGGATTCGTTGGAGGTATGCTTCATTGGGTCCCTGACTTTTTCAGGTCGACGGCTACTCCTGGATTACTCCAACACCTTTTCGAGGACAGTGTGCTACCCGAATCCGGTTTTTATTTCAAATACTTTATTTAAAATAACGTAGCCAAACACAACACAGAAATAAAACCAATTTGACGATTTTAGTTGGATTGCTGAAATATTGTTAAAGTTTTTTTTCACCATAAGGGTACCATGAGCAATCACCCGTCAAAAGGAATCATCTGTGGAACATAAGCCGGCATTAAAGCCTGTTAAGCTGAAGCTGCAGTCAAAATTCCGTTGACGGGTGATTGCTAATAGAATCGTTACCGTAAAAAATTGGTCCAAGAAAAGACAAATTAAGAGCCTTGATGGTACAGTAGGGAATACGTGAGCACCTGAAAGGAGTAATCGAGGGTTCGAACCTGGATTGTAATTGGGAGCTTTGCAAAGATCTCAGCATTATTGTGATTCGTTTTCACGTAATTTCGTGCCATGAAGAAACAAGCAGCAAAAAAAAGTCAAACGTCATTTTTGAAACCATTAATATTTACTTAATCAGCCCGATTTATTTACTGACATAACTTCCCATTAACTTTTATATTAGTCTCAAAAGTTCTCGACAAAGGCTAAAACAACCAAGATATGGTAATTTTAAACCAACTTCAATGCAGTAGATCTCGCTTAACATTGTCGCCGTCGTAGGACTATCACTAATCTGAAAATGTAAACTATTGCTAAGGAGAAAAAGAATTGAGAATCAATAGCGACGAGAAAAGAAATGGTCGAACAGATCACTGATTCTGAAAAAACTTCTTCCTGTCTCGCCGAGAAACTTAGTGACAACTTATGTAACTGCTCTTCATAAGCATGGAGATTTAAGTTCGCTACCTTTTTATGTATTTGCTCTTTCACGGTTTTAAAAACCTCTCTAAAATGTTCTCATACCTTCACTGCCTCACCGTTGAACTGGATGGAGGTATGCTGCCTTGTAGTTAACACAGCTCCAGTAGGATTGCGATTCCCTTCATTGTTAGTCTTAACTGGGCTAGCGGATAAAGATGTTATCAGCTTTTACATTGCCTGGGTGATTAGAGCTAGAGTTAAACGACTGCTCGCAATCGTATTTCTCACCCAAAGTCCTTCACTCCGTATGGAAAACGAAAAAAATAGAGCGCTCCGTGTTGATCATTCCTTCAGGTATTTATAGCATCCTCGGCTTCACTAAGCATCGTTAAGGTGACACATATTCATCCTATGCAACTACTTATCAGAACTACTGATTTAGGAGTCAGTGTTTTTACATTCTTAGACAAATCTTCCAGTAATCGTAGAGGGATGGAGTGCTCAGTTAGTCTAATGAGTAGGATTAAAAGAACCAAGATACGTCCAATCGCTCTATTACACTTTTAATAATAACACATTAAATTTCGACTACAGCCTCAGCTTAACTAAGTTTATTCCCGATGTAGGCTCCCAGATCAGCCCCTTTGACGGGTGATTGCTGATGGCACTGTTAGGTAGAACTAATTGAGAGACAGGCGACATGAAGGACTAGCATGGCGTGATGGTGAACGCTGATAAGAAAAATGTCTACAAATGTTGCAACAAAAAAATGAGAGCGGTAAATAAATCTAATTAGTCCACGCCAGCAGTAAACAGAGGAAAATTCTAGGAAGAGATATTTTTCAAACCGCCCATCGTTTAACGTCGGTTGTATTAACCAATACCTTCTTTGATTGTTAAGCTAACAGGAGGTTGTTACTAAGTAGCTTTTCGGTTCCCGCGCCGATGTCTTCTTCCTCGTTAGACCAGCTGATCTGAGTAGATGGTCCGCAGTCGTTCTTCCTCTCGATGTGATTTCTTCATCGTCGTATCGAGTCAGGTCTTCTTCATTGGAGCGCCGCTCCAATGAGGAAACCTCACTCAGCAAGCTCTCGTATAAAAGGGCGGTTGTTGTTGACAGTGACTATCTGTTGATAATAATTTGCTTTTCAACTGACAATCCATCCGGTAGCTGTCGGTATTATGTAACATAATATAGCAAGCATAATAGCATATATCAACTAGCAAAAAAACTTGAATGATCTAAGTAGAGGTCAGAAAATAAATCCAAATACAGATGTTATGACGACGATTATGAAGGAACAAACGATGGTCCATTATGGTCACTTTTATGAATATCGTAACCCGAGACTCAGAATCCGAGAAACAAGGAAAAAAATTGAGAAGCGAGTTGACAGAAACCTTGTCACTAAGTGAAATCGTCCAATGGCTGGATGTTCCACGAACTTCAGACTAGTGTCAGAACTCTGTGCAACGATGTTTAATGTTCGTTCTCTCAATCTGAGTAAAATCTTCATATCACTTGCAAGCAGGCTTTTTTATTTAAATGCCTACATCTGTGGCAATTCTGGACAGCAACCTTCTCAACACAACAGCTACTGCTGTTGTTACAACCGCCTCAGGATTTTAAGTCTTACTTCTGACATAAAATATTCTGTTAATGGAACGTACCTAAAAGCTTCTTGTCACTTCGGTTTTTACGAATCGCCTTCAGTCAATGATATTTCGTTTTTAACTTGTCAAAATAGGAATGGAATGTTAGATTCTTGAATTGCAGTGATTTTTTTTGACTTAGTCTTCCACAGGACAACAGGAGTCTCAGCTAAGGTGAGGAACCCATCGATTTGCCGGCCGGTCACTTGAAGACGATAAAGTAAGCCTATGTATTAAGCGATCATGTATAGATGATATTCATGCATCCGGTATTTGAGAGATTTACGTACAGGCTGGTTGAGTCGCTAGACAAGATTTGTGGTTGCCGGTTCACCGGAACGGGAAAGATAAGACCACCTATGAAAAGTGTGATGTTCATCGTGATGCTTGAGTGCAGCATGACAGTAGAGGTTCCATTTGAAATTCACGCGAAGCACTAACTGTGCAGAGGATTTAAAGATGAGACTTCACACATGAAATTGCAACGCCTAAAACTTATATAATAGGATCTCCTAATCTTACCACATATTTTTAAGCAGTTCGTTCTGACCTAGTAATGAAATTTTCACAAGAAATAATGCTATTTGTTTGCTCACTTGAATACTTGATCAGACTTCTTTCGTGCCCAAGAGTCACGGGACATCATAAACTTATATATCCGCCCTGCACTCGTCATTCCAGGTGGTGGTCCCGAGCTGAACAGGGTGATGCGTGTTCCGTAACCTACCAATCATTTCCGTTCACGAATACTTACAGCCCCCGGTCTATCGTATGAGTAGCCACCTTATGAAGACGCTATCAACATCTTAGAGTTGTTTCCATAGTTGTTCCCTTGCATATGCCGTCTTCGTTTTCGATGATCCACTATCTATGTGCTGCTATCGACGTGCTCTCTCACTGTTTTCCTGAGGGCCCGAATTCTGCATTCCGCTCAAGACCTTTGCTTGCATTCGGAAAAGATTGTCAAGGCACTCCGTTGGAGGTACTCAAAATTGTCCACCTCGCAATACACGTTATGAAAAGTATACACTACTTACCCGTCATTCTGAGGAA